GCTGAGATTAGGGGAAATAAAGGAACATAAAACAATGGGATATATCCAAGGTACTCATGACATTATGCCTCTGGAGCGACACTTGTGAAACCTGGCTTAGAATTGTCCCCTATTACGGATCACAACTCACGAAGAACTTCTGATGCCGTCAGAACCATGTGCAGCCACCTGTTACCTTTGTACTTGGAGGGGATTGAATCAAACATAACCTGCAGGGTCTTCTGTGATTTTCCTATGAGCTGTGATCAGACCTTGAGCCTACAAAGATAGTAAAAGTGACACTGCTTGAGTCCAGGCATGAAAAAAAAAACAGGAAAAGAGGAAGACAGCTCATAATGACAGTCTTAAGAGTTTTTCACATTCTCTCCAGGAAAAGGAGTGAGCATTGCCATCACTTTGGTCTGAAATTTACTCATCTCTCCTCACTTCTGCTCCACCCAGTTTGCATCCCCACAGAAAAATCTTCCAGGATTGGTGTAGATGCATCTGCCTATGGCATGTTTTTGTTTTTGTTTCTTGAGAGGTTTTTGCTATAGGGTGTGTGCGCTCGCCAGAGAGACAGAAAGCGAGAAATCACCCCCCAAAGGGGATGGGATGGTCATGCCGCAATCCCTTCTCCTCCATTCTCCTCTCAGGATCTTGGGCATGCACGCACACACGCTCGGCATGTTTAAGCCTCCAGGTCTGGGACTCGAACCGCGGTCGACTACATGGGAGTCCAGCGACATAGCCATTACGCTAACTGCTGGTCCCGTTTTGTAAGATTTCTTACACAGAATTGACACTGCCTATTTACTTTTCTTTCTTCTTCATAGACTGTAATCCTCTCAAGCACCTAATTAAGTATCCAGAATAATAGCTATTGATGAGGAAATAAATGATGGAGTATATGCTCTTTTTTTTATAATTTTTTAGACAGATTTTTCCTGTAGGGAGTGTGTGCTTGCCAGAGAGACAGAGACAGAAAGTGAGAAATCACCCCCCAGGGGGCTGGCCATGCCACAACTCCTTCTCCATTCTCCTCTTGGGAGTTTGGGCACACGCACATACATGCCTGGTGTGAGTTTCAAGGCACCAGGTCTAGAACTTGAACTGCAGTCGACTATGTGGGAGTCCAGTCCGTTATGCTACCTGTTGGTCCCGTTTATAATTATTTTCTAAATTTAATTTAATTAAAAATGTTTTAAAGTGATTATTTTTAAATTTATTTTTAGTGGTTTTTGCCTAAGGGCATGTACACTTGCTGGAGAAAAAGAGACAGATACAGTGAGAGGAAAAGTGAGAAATCAGCCCCCAGGGGATGGTCATGCCTCAATTCCTTCTCCAGGAGTCTTGGACATGCATGCACACAAGCCTGGTATGAGTTTCAACCCACCAGGTCTAGGACTCAAACTGTGGGCAGTCATGTGAGAGTCCAGTGATATAACTGCTACACCATTTGCTGGCCCCATTATTAATTTTAAATCTGCTCTAGGGCACATGAGCTCACCAGAGTAAGAGAGAGAGAGAGGGTAAGTAGGAAAGCAAGACACCTGGCCTGAAATTTGAACTGCAGTCAGCCATGGAAGTCAAGTTCCTTAACTACTACACCACTTGCTGGTCCCTAAAAATTTTTTGAATAATTATTTTATTTACCTTTATTTATTTATTTTAGTTTTACCAGAGAGGGACAGGGTGAGAGAGAGAAAGTGAGAAAGCAAGCTACCAGGTCCGGGACACAAACCATGGTGGGCCATGTGGGAATCCAGTGCCCTAACTGCCATGCCAACTGCCCTAAAATATTTTTTTAACTGCCAGAGGGTACATGTACCTGTTGGAGAGACAGAGAGAGATGGAGAGAGAGGCGGGGAATCCCCCAATGGGACATGGTATCATACCCCCTTTCTCCTCCATCTCTCCATCCTTTTGGGCTTTTGGGCACACGTGCGTATCAGCCCAGTGTGTTTCTCAAGCCTACCAGGGCCAGGATTCAAACCATGGTTGGTCATGTGTGATTCAGCTCCCTTAATGACTGGGCTATGGAGTTAGCTTTCCTTTTATCTTTAAAACAGAATAGTTGTAGAGTATTACAAATGCATACATTTATTTATTTATAAGATGGTAAATGCTTTGTAAATGTGTTTTTATTGAGTGGAAAGAGTTTTAAGTTTATCATTGGGAAAGTCACTTGAATTCCAGTTCTGGCTTTGGTAGCCCTGTGACCTTGAATATAAGTCACTTAGCCTTCACTAGACGTAATCCCTCATCTAAGACAAGAAGGTTCAAGCATTGAGCTCCAAGCTTCCTTCCAACCCTAATATTCTGTGGGACTTTGAAAACAAGGCAAGTTTGGGTTTCAAATGTAGGCTTCCTTCCAGATAAGCAAATCAATGGAGCAGCTTAGGTCCCCAACCTTTTTCAGAAGCCTCTGCCTCCACTCACTCCTTCATATCTTAGCAAATATTAATAGCCAAGGGCCTTGCTGAATGTGGTTTTTAATAGAATCCAATTTCAGTCCATTTAGAGTGGGACTTTTCCTGCTGTTTGACTTGGTAATTTGAACTGTGCCAGGCCTGATGGACTGAATGCATTTCCCTGCCTCCACTCTCGGCCCTGGGCTGGCGGGAACAGGGAGTGGGACATCTTAATATAAGCAGCTGCAGATCAGCTATTTGACCTCACAACCAGCCTTGTCTTTCCTGCCCTGAGGAGTGTGATGAGAATCCCAAGGGCACGGGAAGGATAGCAAGCAATGACCACTCTGTTTCCTGACAATTGCCCTCTCCTTGTAGGTCAGAGGCTGCTAGCCTCTAGGTGAACTGTTTTCATCTTTGGATGTGACTGGAAGACACTTGGTTCTGAAAACTATCAGTATTAGTCCCATTGATCGCCATAGAGTTTCTGATATGCCCAGAGAGGAAAGAGGTGGAGTGTGGGGCTTCCTCCACCCCAAGCATTTGTTCTGTTTGATCAGAGTAAACCAAGGACCTGTTGGAAGTTTCCTTCCTACTAGATTGTGGGAATACAGAAGGTATTGGTAGCCATACTATAAAGAGGACATTGAAACCAAGGAGGGTAGGGGGAAGGAAACGAATGCTTACTAGTGCCTAGTAAAGTACTTGATCCTCCCAACACTCTTTTAAAAGACGTAACATTATCTCCATATATAGGAAAGGAAAATAAGGGTCAGAAAAGTTAAGCAACTTCCCCAGGGTCACACAGCTAGTAGACATTAGATCTGTTATTCAAACACTTCATCTTTTCACTCCATAAAGTGCCATGGTTTAAAATGGTGGAGCCATTTGAAATAAATGCTCTGAACTTTGCTGGTCTACTTCAGCACTGGCCCCTTAACGTGGCTGGGTATCAGAAACACTTTAGGACTTTCAAACACCTTAAGCACTGTCCCTGGGAGTCTGATTCAAGGAGTCTAAGTCTGAACTTGAGATTGTGTATTTTGGAAAAGCTCTTCCAAGTGATTCTGATGTTTTAGAAAGCACAGGGCTGGAACCTGTGGCTTCTCTTCTGAACCAAGTCTCCTAAGACTTCAATTCTCAGAAGCACAGATCTAGTCTAGCCCTGCATTTACCTTAAGTTACATTTGCTAGTGAATCCATTATTTATTCATTCCAGGCTCAATGTCAACGTTTTTTAGCACCTATGATATGCCAAGCATTGTGCCAGACATTCTGGCTGCAAAGATGAATATACCACCATGCCTGCCTTGAGAAACATCCTGGTACTGGGAGACATGAACGTGTATAGGAAACTCAGATGTCTTGTAGCCAATGTTAGGCAGAGGTTGCTTTAAGAGTGTAGACTAAGGGACCAAGGGAAGTTTTTTAGTAGTGATCCCAGGTCAAGACCTATAGGAGTTAGCAAGGCAAACAGAGTGTTGAAGGAGGTATAGAATGGCCAACAAGGCAGAGGAAAGAGCACTGAAAGGCTCAGAGACCCAGCACAATGGTTCAGGGCCTCACAAGAAGCCATGCAGCAATAAAATGTGGAGTCCATTGGGAAAGGGACAAGAAGGTGAGCCTGGAAAAGCCACTGGGAGGAGCCACATGAAAGTCATTGTGTCATATGTTCGAGAGGTCTTTATCTTAGATCTTTATCCCCTAAGTGATGAGTAGCCACTAGAGACTTGTAAGCTGTGGAGCAACATGATCAGATTGTGTTTTAGAAGGGTCACTCTGATCAAAATGAGAGAATGCTATATGCAGGAGAAGCTGGCAACAGAGGAACAAATTAATTGCAGGAGTAGGAATTTATGTATGTCAAAAAGCACCATAAACAAAATTTGAAAGCAAAGCACTTGGAAAGCATATTTGTAGCATTTCTTGACAAAAATAATATTCTTAATAAAATTACAAATTGATAATAAAGATAAACATACCAATATCAAATAAATAGAAAATTCACAAAGAAGGAAGTACAAATGGTCAATAAGCATATGAAAATATACACTAATAACCAAAGAAAGTTAAAATAACAAGTTCAAATAACATTGACTGTTACGTTACCTAATTGCTAAAGATGTGATTATGTGATAATACTCAGTGTTAGTCAGGGTGCAGGGAACGGGGAACTCTCAACGTTGCAAATTGGAGAGTGTTTTTGGAACCAACTTTCCGAAGGGCAGTTGGCAAAACGTATCAAAATTCTTAAAAATAGCCAGGCAATTTCCTTCTTGGATTTTATCCTAAGGAAATAGTCATAGATGTGTGCAAAATTTAGCTACAAGAATGTCTGTTGCAACACTATTTACAATCATGAATGGGAATGAATGAAATAATCACTATTTGGGGATTGGCTACAAAATGAAGGTCCACCCAGATATCAAGAATACTCTCAGCAAAGCTGGAGAGACATGCAGAAAATGTTCATGACATAGTATGTGAAAGAACAAGAGATAAGAAAATGTGTCCATTATGCTACCATTTGTGTGTGATAAAATTATATATATATATATATATACACACACACACATATGTATATATATATATTTGAAATGTGTAAGTATTGTCCAGAAAGTGATATAGGAAATTAGAGAGAAACTAGATGTTAATAGACAGGGCTGGAACGAGATTTACTGCTGACCATAGAACTTTTTGTACTTTTTGAATTTTGTATCTGTGTATGTATCACATATTCTAAGGTAGAAATACACATTTTAAAAAGTAAATTGTTAAAGAGTACATACAGTGTGATCTAGTTTTTGTTTAAAAAAATCCACAACTGTGCATGTATGTGAATACATTTAAAAACCAAAGAAAACTAAAAGATATATCCAAAAGAATAGAATGTTTGTCTAGGTGGTAGTTCTATGGGTTGGATTTTGTTCTTTGTTCTAAATTTGCTTTTCTTAAAATTTCTACAATACATGTGAGGCTTTCATAATAATTCAACACCAAGTATAAGTTTTTTCCCCAAAGAGTTTATCACAAATGTCCAGGTAGGAGATGACAATGCAGATCACCCATAATGGGTGCTCTGTCTATATAGCTTAGCAGTGACATCTACAAAGTATGTAATTAAATCACAGGCCCTACTTTTGGGAGGGGAGGGGAGAGGAAGCTGAAGATTTGGTAAGAAAAACAGACCTGATTTTGTCAAAAGCTCTCTGAAGTCTCTGTTGGATAAATGCACAGAAAATTCAGCTCTATTATCCCAAACATCAATCAAAACTACCTCAAACATCAACCAATACCCTAGGCAACTTTTTTCTTTGGGATCACTTAAGTACAGGTCACAGTGAAATAGAGTACCAAGAAGCGTGAGTACCTAACTCTCCAGATAAGCAGATGGCCTGCACAATGTTTTTATGAGGTTCAGAGAGGTTGTCCTCACCTAGTTCCAGTTTTCAACCTTGCTCCTTGGGATGGTAACTCCCATTCATTCAACTCTGCCCCAATGCTCTCATTTAAGTAAGCCCTTGCTCCTGCCTCTGTGCTGGGAACAATTACTCTGAATCCTTCCTGATGTTTGAAGACCAAAGTAGATCTTGCCAATTTGAACTATCTTGCCGATGTGAAGGCCTCCTCTGATCTCATCTTTATCCTTCAGATCCTAATAGCTTGCCAACTCATGAACTTTCTGGTTTGGGAACTAGAGAATGGGGAAGTTTTGTACTTATCTCTATTCTAGGTCTTTAGGGTAGCTTGGTATTTGGGGTCATGTGAAGTCATTTTGGAGAAAGAGGGCAGAGAAAAGACTATGGTAGGGATAGGGGAGAATATGGTAGTTAGAACAACTTTTTCCTTTTCCTCTTCTCCAGAGGGTGAGATATAGATAAGTAACTATGGACCCCTGAATATTTCTAGCACCTTCCTGCAGCCCCTGTTGAAAGCCTTTGGGCAGCTATGTGAATTCAACCTGTGCTGCTGGTTTCTGGGCCCCTCAGCTGTGACTGGATCCCACAGTGGTAGAAGCTGCTTAAATAAATAACCCATAATTAGCTGTGTGTTTCCTTTCGGTCTCTACCTATAATTGTGACTATTCCCCAGTGCTGGGGATGGGTGAGGAATGTTAGGTAGGTTGTTCAAACACATGCTGGCCACATCAGCAAGTAGCATGAGCAACACACACAAATAACTGCTGGGTCTCAGCTGTCTTTTCCTGGCCCAACATTGCTCAGACCACTGGAAATTCTGGTCTCTGGTCTGTTTTTGCCTTGAGTGAATACAAGCAGAGATGCTTGTACCACCATTGACATGGTGAAAGCTTTTCAACTTAATATACATCGTCTTACTCTTGAATGGTTGTAACTGCCCAGTAGAATATTTACAGAGAGGCTATTAAATATAGGATAGTTACTAGCTAGCGCTCCGGAGTCAGACAGACCTGGTTCAAATCCTAGCTATGCCACACAAGGCCCAGGCAACCTTGGGATAGTTCATTGTTCGGCTTTCAGTTTTCTAGTCCATCAAATGGGAATAGCGTCTCACAAAGTAATCGCATGAAAGAAATGAGATTATACATGTAAAAATCTGAAGATAGTGCATTTAATAAATCCTAACTATTAACATTATTGCATCTGTATATATTTTAATTTTGTACAATATTGTTTCTTTCACTAATCACACGAAAAATACATGAAAGTGCTTTGAAAAATTTAAAGCATCATATAAATTAAAGGTGTCATTGGTAGTAATCTCTATGTATAGTTCTCGACTCTTCCATCTCTTTGAAAACAGATTCTATACTATGTCCCACAATATATTGCACAATGATGGGCAAACGATAAGCCCTCAGCAAATGCTTCTAGTTTGACTGAAGCAACATGGCATAGCTTAAAGAACAGAGATATCAGGAGACTTGGCTGGGATAAAATTAGTTTAAGGCAGGAGAGCCAGTCATAACTTATTCATTCAACAAATATTTGTGGAACACATTCTACGTACTAGATATTGAGTTTGGATAATTTCATCAAAAAGTAGCTACACGAGTTCCCACAAAGCCAAGCCCTGGGGCAGTCTCCACAATCCCAGCCCACTCTTGAAAGCACGCAGGCTGCAGCCAACATTGTAAACCCCGGACAAATGGCCAGTTGCTCTAGGGGCAGCCCCATCCTGCCTGGCTACAAGTAGCTCTGACTGAGCGGTGGGGGAAGGAACACAAGTGAGGGAGTGGACTGCTTCCAACAGAAAGGACAGGAACTGCTGCCTGTTAATTTATTTTTATTTACACTGAATTAGTCCACAGTTCAATCTGCCAGCCTATACAGTGCTCGATCCCCCCTAGGCATCGTCTCTCCCTCCTAAGTCACCTACATGGTCTGGCCTGCCCCAACCCTTGGCCTATTTAGCCCTGTCCTTCTGCTGTCACAGCTGCCTGCTGGGTGGGAGTATGGGGGAATGGTATGTATGGTCACCAGAGGGCACTGAGAGTGGGGTTCAGTGGCATGTGAATCCTGGCAGAGTCTCAGATCCCCAAAGGGGAGAGAAGAAAGCACAAGCCAAGACAAAAAAATGAGGGAGGGATGCCGGAGCTGAGACAGCTGGGGAGTACAGAAGTCCAGTGTACAAATTCATGTCTCTGTGCTGGCTGAAGCAACACTTCTGGTGTTTGTCTCATCCCTGGACTTGCTATGGTTGCCTCGAGATGCTCTAGTTTGCCAGGAAAGTGTGGAAGGGTCCAGACTGTGGGCTTCATGCCGGCTGCCTGTAGGATGGCGCACCTGGCAGGCTCTGCCTCTGTCGGACGCAGTGGTCAGTCAGAACTTCCCTGGCAGTCCCAGTCCAGGAGACTCCTCTCCAGCTGTCTTGGCAGAAGACAGGCCCCTCTCAGCTGCAGACCTCTAGAGAGCACGATGTCTCCATGGTCTGAGCAACCAACCAGATTCCAAATTTACATCTGTCCTTATTTTCACACTGGGAAAAGACAAAGGCTTGGGGAACAATAGGAGGAAGAAGGAGGAGCCAAAAGTGGGGAGGAAGAGACAGATCCCAGGAAGGGGCTTTCCACCATGGGTGCCTGGAAGTCCCCGGGCAGGCGCAGGTGCAGCTCTGGGAGGCTTCCTGGTTACATGGCTTCTTTCTCTCTCTGGGAGCATCTGCTGAGTTTCATCTCCGTCAGCTGGATGTACCGAATCACGTTGGTGTCTGTGAGGAGAGAAACACACTAAGGGAATACCTGATGAGGGCAACTACTGTGTCTGCATCGAATCAGGCAAAAGCCGGGTTGCAGGTCATGGGAAGGCCAGACTCTCCCAGCCAAGGTCCCTTCTGCCTGTTGTGGTGAAGGCTGAGCGGGCAACCAGATGTTGGCCCTCTTCACTACCTCCCCTTGGCAAATGAGGACAGGCCATCTGACCTGAGGCAGATGGGACGGTGAGAAAGCAGGATTTCCCCCCTTATTTCTACACAGCAGCAGATCCCCGTGGCCCCTGAATCAGCACAGTTGAGACCACAATTGGGCGTTTAAGCTCAGAAGAGTTACCAACTTCTCTGGGCATCTTTTATGTCTCATCTGCAAAAATATCCTCCATATTTGAATGCCTACTTTGTGCCAGGTTTTTTTTTTTTTTTTTTTTTTTTAAACAAACAAACAAAACGTTATTTCACTTAAGCCTCACAGTCCTGCAAGGTATTGTATCATCGTCCTCACCGTGACAAAAGGGAAGAGAGGACTTGCAGAGATTAAGTAAGATGCTCAAGGAGACATACAGTAAATGCCATGTCCGACTCCAAAGCCTGCCTCTCCTAAGGATCCTAGCACTGCTGCAAGGACCAAAGCAGATCAGTCTGGAAGTGCTTAATACCGTGATCAATAAATATTAGGTGAATGCAATTTTTTTTAAGTTTGAAGAATTTAAAATGTCCTTGCTTCATTGTCTTATTTTCGTCCTTGTAAACAGGGACACGCAAACTATCTCACCACAAACAGGGGTATTTCTCCCCACCTCCTGTCCTGAACTCAGTGAGAGGGCAGAACAGAGGAGGGCTGCTCAGCTCTGTACACACCAGAACATGAGTTACAGGGCTTCCCAGGAAATGTACTTCTAGGCGCAGAAATGAACACTGTATCATGCTCAAAAAAATGCCAGGCAGAACCTCCAGCATAGTGCTGAATTATAGCAGGGATTCGATTCTATTGAAGGAATCCAGTTCTTAGTCTTCAAGCTGTATAGCTATTGTTTATAGAACACAATCCATATGTAGAAGGCAAACCAACGACACATAAAAATAAAGATACTGGTGTTCTTTAAAAAGATAGGGGGAAAATATATATTTCAACACCTGCAAATTGATCCTAAAGTTTCTAAAGACTTCTTGGAAGAAGGACTGCACTGAAAATAATGAACCAACCAACCAACCAACCCTCAATAAACCAACCATATAAAGAACAATAAAGGCATCCTCAAGTCAAAGTCATTGTTTCAGTGTTACCTCCTCAGAGGGATTCTTTCTGGCCACTTGGTCTAAAATAGCACCCCCTTTCCTCTTGAATGTGCTCTGCTTTATTTTTCTCTATAGCACTTACTACTGCTAAATATCACATGATTTATGTGTCTGTTTACTGTCCATCTTCCTCCGCTATAATAGGAGCTCCTTGAACTAAGTTGTTCTTTTGTTCACGGCTATGTATCCAGCATCCAGACTAGTTCCTGGCCCATTGTACCCCCTCAATAAATATCTGTAAGACGAATGAATGAACAAATGACTGAGTGAGCTAGGCAACATGATGTAAGTGAATGGTACAGATAACATAAGCCCTAAAGAATAAGATCTGACTGGAGAAGTCCCAGCTTCTGGAAAGATGCTGGATTTGGCCTCAAAATGATCTGTATTCTGTCTTGTTTACCAGTTCTGATCTCCTTATGTACAGAGATCATGGCTGTTCATCTATATCCCTGGTGCCCAGCACAAATCTTGGCATCTAGTAAGAATTCAATATGCATTTGGGAACCAGCAGTTAGCGTAATGGCTATGTCGCTGGACTCCCATGTAGTCGACTGTGGTTCACGTCCCGGACCTGGTGGCTTAAAACTCACGCCAGGCGTATGTGCGTGCGTGCCCAAGATCCCGAGAGGAGAATGGAGGAGAAGGGATTGCGGCATGACCATCCCCTCTAGGGGGTGATTTCTCGCTTTCTGTCTCTATGTCTCTCTCTGTCTGTCTGACGAGCGCACGTGCCCTATAGCAAAAAACAAAAACAAAAACAAAAAAACCTCTCAAAAAAAAATGCATTTATTGAATAACTGAAGAGCTTCTGAGTCGGAAACAATGAGGAATTCTGTGCTCTATTTGAAGAAAAGAGGTGTTCATGCTTCTTGGGACGTGGGCCTCAGGTGAACGCATGTACTGTGTGCTCTCCATATGCCACTTCTAACATATACCTCACTCCTAACTTCTCTCTGGTCCTGCCTGGGCCTGCCAGCCATGAAAGCTGTCTGCTGCAATGAGAGATTCCCCTTTCCTACTGTCAGGGAGCCTAGAGTAAGCAAACAGTAATCATTGTCTTACCTGTTGGCTGTCGGGTCCTTGCTTCTTTCAGGTAGTAGAGTGCTTTGTCATAGTCTCCAAGGTGGTAGAAGGCCACACCAGACCGGTAAAGGGCCTTGAAGTTCTCTCCTTCCTTCTTCAGGACTTTGAGGCAATACTCCTTGACTCGCTCATAGTTTACCAGCTCAGCCTGGAGCAGGCAGGCTAGGGAAGAAAGAGGAGCAATGTCATCCACACCACAGGGGCCAGTTCTGAAGGTCTCTCTTTAGTTTTCCCTTTCCAGAGAAGGTTTGACTGTGCTGGAACTTTCCACTGGGGTTTATGCCATGAGATTTATCATCAAATAATCCTGGGCTCCAGGACCAGTTTGATCACTTATAAATTATGTGACTTTGAGCACGTTACTTACCTATTATGGGGTAAATTATGTCCCCCAAAAGGATACATCAGAGTCCTAACCCCCAATACCTAAGAATGAACATTATTTGGAGATGGAGGTTTTAAAGAGGTAATTAAGTTAAAATGAGGTTGTTAGAATGGGTCCTGATCCAATGTGCCTGGTGTCCTCACAAAAAAGAGATATTTGGGGAACCAGCAGTTAGCGTAATGGCTATGTCGCTGGACTCCCACGTAGTCGACCGCGGTTCGTATCCCGGACCCGGTGGCTTAAAACTCACGCCGGGCACGTGTGCGTGCGTGCCCAGGATCCCGAGAGGAGAATGGAGGAGAAGGGATTGCGGCGTGACCATCCCCCCTGGGGGGTGATTTCTCGCTTTCTGTCTCTATGTCTCTCTCTGTCTGTCTGGCGAGCGCACGCACCCTACAGTGAAAATCTCTCCAAAAAAAAAAAAAAAAGAGATATTTGGACACAGAAGGAGATACGCACACAGAGAAAGCTAGTTGATGTGAAGAGACACAGGGAGAAGATGACCGTCTACCAGCCAGCAAGGCCTGAGGCTACCAGGAGCACAGAGAGCAGGGCAGAGCAGATTCTTTCTAACAGTCCTCAGGAGGAACCAACCCTGGTGACAACTTGATCTTGAACTCCTACCTTCCAGAAGTGTGAGACAATACATTTTTTTTTAAAGAACTGTTTTCCTTGTAGGCCAGCAGGTAGTGTAGAGGTTAAGGTGGCTGGATCCCACATAGCCAACCTACAGTTCAAGTCCTGGCCCCAATGGCCTGAAAAATATGCAGAGTGCATGTGTGCACATACCAAAAATCCCAAGAGAAATGGAGGAGGAGGGATTATGACATGGCTATCCTCCCTGAGAGGATGATTTCTCACTTTCCTTCTCAAGAATTATTTTATTTAACTTTATTATTATTATTATTATTATTTTCCAGTTTGATCAGAGAAAGAAAGAGAAAGTGATAAAGCAAGTCATCAGGTCTGGGACTTGAACCTCAGTCAGCCGCGTGGGAGTCCAGTGCCTCTAAGCACCACACCACCTGCCGGCTCCACATATGTATTATTTTTAGTCACCCAGTTTGTGGGACTTTGTCTAGACAGCCTTAGGAATATGCTGCCCGAGGTAATAATAGAAATGATAATAGGACAGCTAAGACTTACGGAGTGTGTACCTTGTTCCAGATGTCTGTCTCCTTGTTTCACATGTATTGCCTGATGTAATCCTCAGACTACGAGGAGACACTTTTATTATTCCCATTTTACAGGTGAGGGAGCTGAGACCTAGAGAGCTTAAGAAATTTCCTAAGATCATACAATGGGAAAGAGGCAAAGACGGAATTTAAACCAAAGCTGTCTGACTCCAGAGCCCAAGTTCCTCCTTAGTGAGTTGTTGGGGAAATTATATAAAATAATGGCCATCAAGTACTTAACACAAGGCTTGGCATACAGTAAGCACTCAAAATATGTGAGTTAAAATGATACTTCTTTCCCACTTTAACCAGTAATATCTGCCTCTGACATCCCCTGAGGGAAGTCTTCAGTTTTTCATTTCATACATGTCTGTCTCTGCAGTTCCTGAGAGTAGGGGTCTTCTGATGAACTAGTTACCAGCCTCACTCAGGTCACACCTGTGGACAGTGAAAGACCTGAGACTCAGACAGAAGAAAGCCAAAGCTGTCGGGTCTCCACAGTGATCTCTCTCCATCCCACAAATAGCCCTCTCCATAGTCCTTGAAGTGTTCTCTTATAGCCCTGAGCCATGGGCCTCGACCAGAGTGAGGACATCCCTGGAGGGTGACTGAATTTGGATTGGTGCTTTTGACGCCTCACTTCACTCCCAGCCCTCCTGAGCCACCTCTGCCTCCATCCAATCCCTTAAATAGTGAGTAGGCACTGACTAAGGGCAAAGCCATGTGTTAGACACTTGGAGAAATTAGTTTTTTTTTTTTTTTAAATGGAAAAGGTATGTGTCTGCTTCTTTAAAGTGAATAAAAAACAGAGGCGGCAAATTGCTGTTTCCCACCAAGATCTGGCTGAGCGGAGAGTAGGGTGGAGGAGAAGGCCGATGTGCCTTCCTTGTGCTTAGATGTCTCCCACATTGGAAGCACAGTCTTTAGGAAAGAGGCAAGTCACTGATTTTAATCTTAGAGGTTCTAACTTCAGTTGTTACAATCCCTTAAATAGCTTTCCAGGTGTCTGAACTGCCAAGCTTCTTTTTTTGAGACCAAATCTCTCATAACATATTTTGGACAAAAACAAACAAACAAAAACAACAACAACAAAAAAACCCAACAACAGCAATAAAGCAATGAAACAACATCCTCTTCCTGACTGAGAAGGAGGCAAACCCCAAAGACTCTCAAATTGAAGGTGTAGGAACCAGGAAGTGACAGGATCAGCCCAGATCTAGAAACTAACTTGTCAGGTTCCACTGGCTGCAGGGCAGACAGCCCAAGTCCTGCTCCTGACCCACTGGGCGTGGGCCCTGCCCCTCCTCAGCTGTAGGGTTTTAGGCCCTCTGTCCCCTCCTCACTCCCAATGCTGCTGGCACCTGTGCGGGGTGTCTGCAGGGAGGGAGGAGTTTCTGCAAAAAGAGTCCTGAGTGCAGCCTCCCTGGCAGCTACCTGTGTGGGACTTGGCTCCAACATCTGCTCCCAGCGCTAAAGAATTTCCTGCCTGCCGCTTCCACGTGCCCTGCCAACGTCCTCCCTGACCTGGTACAGTAGCTCTCTTCCTGTCCATCCTTCTGTCTTTAAACAGACACTGCTGTTTGCTGACCTGGGCAGTCTACAAAACTCATCTTAGCTTTTTTCAAAAACAAGTTTTCTATGTCTAAAATGAAGGGTAAGGAAGCAAATAGACCTGAAATGGGAAAACCTTTTCCCTCCTCCAATCCCTAAAGGGCAAAAGGATCTACAGTAATTGCCTTCTGGCATTCATTTGGTGAAAATGTGTCTAATTCTCCTGCAGATCAGGTGGGAACTGACACCTGGCTGTGGCCCAGTGCTCAGACTTGGTGGGAGATGAGGCCAGATTGGTTACAGGGTGTGGAGTCCCTGCTGACACCAGAGGCAGGGCCCAGGGAGACTAAGACATGGGCTGTTGGCCAGAGAAAGGCTGGGCCGAGGGTGGAATCTGAGAAGTGGAATCCAGATAAAAAGCCTGGGTGCCAGGCCAGGGCTCCAAAGAGGACCCAGGGGTAGAGGGGGTGAGACAGGCTGGAGGTTGCCCTCAGCTCTACCTGCAGGTGATTTTAGACACCTCTGCTCTGATGGGGAGCTATAGGTTCATATAATCAGCCCGCAGACTAGGTAAGATGGGATGTTTACAGGCATGTTGAAGATCTGAGGAAGAAAAGCTCCCTAAATGTTCCTTCCCTGTCTTTGTAGCCATTATCCAGGACTGGGGGTTACAGTGGGCCTTACAAATAATAAGAGGCCTTGTCCCACAGTGTGTCCTCCTCAGTTATTCAATCCTGGTGCCATGTACTTCACATACACCATGCGTTTTAATCTTCACAACGACTCTATGATACGGGTTCTAATGCTTCTTTATAGATCATGACACTGAATTCCAGAGAAATAAAGTATTTTTCTGAAGGTCACTCAACTAGAAAGTGGTGGTGGGATCAGGCTAGCAACCCACTTCTGCCAGGCTCCCAAAACCATGTCCTTGGCCATGGGGGTGTCAGTTGGCCTGCATTTGAAGCCCTCAGAAAGCCACATGACCTCAGGGGAAAATCACCTTGTCTGCGTTCTGAGGCTATCAAGGTGAAAGTGACACCCAAGTGTGCAGTACACATTCAGGGCAGTGGGATCAGGTGATGAGTCTACACTCCATCCCGTCCTCCTGAGGCTCCCAGACAAGCAGAGGTTACAGTATCCCAGAGTTCACACGCGGGCCAAGTGCAGTGACAGAGAAGGGCATGGTGGAAGCACACCCAGCCAGATGAGGGGCCCTCGACCTAATCAAAAGTATCACAGAAGGTCTTGGAAGACTGGTATTTAAACTGGGATCTAAGACTGAGTGTCTCTCAGCCTCGGCACTATTAAGATTGGGGTGATTTCTCACTTTCCTCTCACTGTCTCTCTCTGTCTCTTAGCATACATGTGCTAAGAGAAAAAAAAGGGGGTGGGGACTGGAAATACAAAGTGACTAACCTTGGTCAAAGGATCTTGACCTGCTTTTTTCAAATTGGAGCTACTTCTTGCCATGCATTTTCCTTCTAACTCAAGAGCAAATCTATTTTAGTGTGAAGTGTTTTGATTTTACAAGGACCTAGTGATCAGTAATCAGATCTGGACCTAAGAAAATGAAAATATATATTATGTAAACATACTTTGGAGGTTACTTAAATAATATTGCAAATGTATGCTTTAATTTACACACACACACACACACACACACACTTTTGTGGAAATACTATTTGAGAATTCAAATCCCTGAATATTGGTAAATATCATTGAGAAATATTTTTATGCAAGCATGATGAGCAAGTTGATCCTGTACCATGAAGAAAGTGCAATGTTTCATGCAGACTAAAAATGTAAAAATGTTTCACATATCATTTTTAACCAAAGTTATAAAAATGTTATCACTCCTTATGTTTGAAGAATCTGAACCATTTCAGTGAATTGAAGTAACGGTATCAGCAGTTTTGTAATTAGTACTACAAAGCTGTTTAAACAAGAGGACATCCTGGTACACAAAATGTCACTATTTCAAATCACTCTAGACGCCCCCCCCCAAAAGTTATAATTTCTAGAATCAAACTAATTCCTCCTTAAAAGTA